TAGGAACAAAAGAGGGGAAAGAACAATCTGTTAACTGACAGTCCTTTGTAGACTACACAATAGGAAACAAAGGTACTTTTTACTTTTCTCTTCCTCAGAAAAGGCGGGGAATCCTACAGGTGCTTTCAAGAATGATTTGTGAGTCTCCAAAATATTGGCTGAGATCCAAATAACTGCAACTACTTTTGCTTTTCTAAGAAGTCTTAGGTTTGTAATCTTTTTACAGAAACCTCCTTTTGATACGGAAGGCAACCTCAGAAAAGCAAAGGAAGCATTTCGCTGGATAAGGTCAAAGGCACATCTGATCTATCACTATGTTGTCACAATGGCTAACCATTGTGGAAAGCCTCCATCACCTGTGTGCAGTGATGCCCTCCCAGCAACTGGTATTCAGAGCCATATTGGGTGGTATGCAACCTGTTGAGGTTAAAGGACCTAACTGTGCAGAGGCAGGACATGGAGGCAGTTGTATAGAGGCCAGGCCTTCCAGCTGAGATTTAGAAGATCCATGTGCAGAGGAAATCTTCCCCTGAAAACCCTTCCCTAAGGAACAGCTATAGGAGATGGGTTTTTTTTTTCAAGCCTTGCTCATGGACTTATTGGAGAGATCTGGTTGGCCACAGTAAGAAATGCTCTGGACAAGATGGGCCTTTGGTCTGATCTAGCAGCATTCTTCTTCTTCTTCTGTATTTTTATTAAAGATTTTCTTGGTTTACAAAAGTATGTGCAATGTCTCTCTCTCTCTCTTTTCCCCCCAAGTAACATTTTTTACAGATCAGTTTGATTTGTTGAGACATTAGGAAGAAGAGGGGGAAAGAGGTGGAGGGGGAAAAAGATGAGTGGGGGTGGGGTCTGGTGGTGATGTTTCTATTAACCCCACTCAATGGACCAGAATGTGGTCTAAGGTAAAGGGACCCCTGACCATTAGGTCCAGTCGTGGCCGACTCTGGGGTTATGGCGCTCATCTCGCTTTATTGGCCAAGGGAGCCAGCATACAGCTTCCGGGTCATGTGGCCAGCATGACTAAGCCGCTTCTGGCGAACCAGAACAGCGCACGGAAACTCCGTTTACCTTCCCGCCGGAGTGGTACCTATTTATCTACTTGCACTTTGATGCGCTTCTGAACGGCTAGGTTGGCAGGAGCAGGGACCGAGCAACAGGAGCTCACCCCGTCGCGGGGATTCGAACCGCAGACCTTTTGATCGGCAAGTCCTTGGCTCTGTGGTTTAACCTACAGCACCACTCGCATCCCTTAATGTGGTCTAAACCCCCCTTTAAATCCATATCAACAAAAAGAAAAGAACTCACTCTGAAACTCACCTGCAGGTGGTACCTAACACCAAGAAAGCTAGCGCCAATACGCCCAGGAACCTCACCAAAATGCTGGAGAGGGTGCACTTCCACAGGCACATACCTCCACATGTGGTGGGAGTGCCCCAAAATCCAACTATTCTGGACAACAGCCATATGAGAAATATGTAAAATAACTAAGCAAGTATTAGAAATCACCCCAGAATTGGCCCTACTAAACGTCTTCCAAGCAGGGTTCTTCTTAAACACCTAGATTTATCTGATATAAGGTAGCTTCCTAGATTTTTTGCACATGTTCAGTATTGTCTACTCTGTCTGGTAACAGCTTTCTAAGGGACAGATGTCTTTCATATCACCTGCAGTGTCCATGTCAAGCAGGGAACATTCAGGACTTGGGACTGTTCCGAGGAACCTTGTTGCTACAGGAGCAGCTTTCTCTGTAAGGAGCTAGAGCCCAGTTGAAGTTCAATATTGACTGACTAGACCTGTAGTGTGTTAGGCTACACTCCCCTAGAGGAGGTGACTGGCTGGTTAAAGGGCCTTCACATAACCTTTGGTTTCTGCAAGGCAGGATACATAGAGGTCCTGCAGAGCATCAGTCTTCTAAATCATCTTGGTGAGCCCTGCACAGTGGGGCATGGGTGTGATTGTTGCACCTCCAAATACCAAGCCTCAACTTGTAAAAAGGGAGTAATTGTTGGCTGATGGTTTTCTGACTAAATGATTAAGGAAATGTAGGCCAAGACATACATGAAGAAATCTTTTGTACTCCGCCCAATTTGGTTCAGAATTCAGCCAAATCTGGAGCACACTGTTATATATCCCGATGCTCCTGCTATTTTCCTGGTTCCGCAAAATGCTGTATAAATAATGTCTGACTTCACATGTGCACTTTAGGAGCACCCCTGACTGCACACATGACAAGCAACTTTGATCTTCATGTAGAGGATGCAAATAGCACATTTGGATTCATATCAGACTGAACTGTCCACGGTACTGAAACTGCATCTTGCAGAATAATCTCTGGGTAAATAACTTTTGGGCCAATTCTCCTTGATTAAACTTGCAGACATCAAGGAGCAGTGTCTGTATTACATTACATTGCCTGAAGTTTGCATGGGGAAAACTTCATAGCCCGAGACTGTTAACTAGTCTAAAGACACAATTCTAAAAGTCATTGATTGGAGTTCTGACTTGTTTCCACCAACAAACATCAAAATTGTTGTCCCCCTTAAACACATCTAGACTTTAAAACCTACTCATCCTACTTATCACTGTCCTATCAACTGAAAAATCCTCCCTCTTTCTTCTAAGCCCTAACTGTTTTAGGACCGACTTACACAATCAACCTAATCCAAGTTCTTGATAGATTGTAATATATTAGCCTGCTGGGGGTTGTTCTGAAGCACTCCTAAAATATGTTCAGCTCTTGCTATAACAGCTTGCACCTCAGAAGGAAGTTTCAAACCTGTCTGGAGAGGTCTCAGGCAAGACACTGTTACAGAAAGCCAGGCTCAGATGTTCCAGGTTGCAAGAACACCTGGTAAATTCATTGTCTTCTTTCACTATAAATCTCTGCCATCCCTCCTGTTCCATTTGTAGATTTAAAAGAAAACAAAAGAGCACCAGACTCCTTCAACCAAGATATGGCCACCGACATGTCTCTCCCCCACAGTTACAAATCAAGAAGTTACAATAGCCAGAGGCTCTTCCCAGCAGAGCTCAAAAGATATGTTAATCTCTCCCCCCCCCCCATTTCAGCTGAACCACAGAATAATTCCCCCCCACACAAGCCACTTTTCTACCTTTTTTTTTAAAAAAAAGATAAACTCTTTCCGGCACCATCTTAAAACTTTTTTAATCTGCCTTAGAAGCGTAGCAGTAGGTGTTACACAGAGAGATACCATATTTTTCACTCTGTAAGACGCACCAGACCACAACTCACCTAGTTTTGGAGGAGGAAAACAAGAAAAAAAATATTCTGAATCTCAGAAACCAGAACAGCAAGAGGAATTGCTGCGCAGTGAAAGCAGCGATCCCTCTTGCTCTTTTGGCTTCTGGGATAGCTGCGCAGCCTGCATTCGCTCCATAAGACCCACACACATTTCCCCTTACTTTTTAGGAGGGAAAAAGTGAGTCTTATAGAGCAAAAAATATGGTACTTTTGCTGAAGCCTGGTCTTCTTTCTTTTCATATGTTAGAGAAGAAGATAATAATTCTATCCCACCAACTACTCATACTCAATGCTTTTTTTAAAATTATTTTGGTGGGGTGGAGATTGTGTTACTTAACACAGCTATTGTTCTTCACAGGTTTTTTTTTGGGGGGGGGGGTATATTAGGAAATATTTTTTAAACGCCCATTCACTATGAGGAAGATGGGATCTCCGGCCTTTGTTTCTATGTTTATTTCCAAGTCCATCTCAAGCACAGGAGATGATTCTTTTCACCTGACTACTTAGAAATTATTTGGACATTGAAAGCATCTCATCTCCATGCATAGGATAATCTCCTCTGTTGACACCCCCTTCCTTCTCCCTTTCCCTTCTACTGTGGTACCTCGGGTTACAGACGCTTCAGGTTACAGACGCTTCAGGTTACAGACTCCGCTAACCCAGAAATAGTAGTTAAGAACTTTGCTTCAAGATGAGAAGAGAAATCGTGCTCTGGTGGTGTGATGGCAGTGGGAGGCTCTATTAGCTAAAGTGGTCCCTCAGGTTAAGAACAGACCTCCAGAACGAATTAAGTTCTTAACCCGAGGTACCACTGTATATTACTTTCTGCTGGTAAAGAGGTGCTCTCACCTTTGTCCCATAACACCAAACCCCAGCTTCACAGATTAAGAACATAGGATTAAACTCTCTCACACACATGGCAGCTGACCAAACCCTCATTCTCTCTGATTCCTTTCCCCTGCTGAGGACAGAATGAGGTTGATGGGACAATACCTCTTGCATTCCGATGGATCGGCCTTCACCGCTTGGCTCTTTCCTACCAGTACTCAGAGACAATCATAGCTGTTTGCTAAACGAGATTTGCAAGCTGCTTGAAATTGTTTGCATGGTTCCATCACATGAACTATCTGCTTGTTTACCTTACTGGAACATTTCACAAACAGCCTTATGGTTCTGAACCACTTTCCACCATATCAGATTTTCTCCACAGCCTCCTTTGTGCCAACTGCTGTTTTTGTGTGGGTGGAAGGGGAGCCTGAAGCAGATGGCTGCTGCAAACAGAGGATCACAGTGGGATTTCCCTTTCCGCAGCTGCTGAATGTTGGTGTGGAGAAAACCCTCAAAATAGATCCTTCTCTGTTAAGTTGAAATGCCCTTCTTAAACCCCGGTCAAGATTAAAGATGGTGTGAGATTTAAAACTGGGCTTTTTTGGGGGGGGGGGGGAGCTCAAAATATGAACTCTTTCCTCCAACCCTGCTTGAAAAGGAACTGATCACAAATAATGGGACTTTGAGATGCCCCATTCTACCACTCTGATCCATCCAGCATCAAGTGGGGAAACACATTTACGGCCTGCCTGGCTGGAAGAGCCAGCCCCTTCTGACACTGTGTTGTGCATAGCATGGGGGCCGACTGGTTCTAGCATCCTATTTAAGGGGCAGTCTGTAGACAGCATCTTAAAAAGCAGAGACATCACCTTGCCAACAAAGGTCCGTATAGTTAAAGCTATGGTTTTCCCAGTAGTGATGTATGGAAGTGAGAGCTGGACCATAAAGAAGGCTGATCGCCGAAGAATTGATGCTTTGGAATTATGGTGTTGGAGGAGACTCTTGAGAGTCCCGTGGACTGCAAGAAGATCAAACCGATCCATTCTGAAGGAAACCAGCCCTGAGTGCTCACTGGAAGGACAGATCGTGAAGCTGAGGCTCCAATACTTTGGCCACCTCACGAGAAGACTCCCTGGAAAAGACCCTGATGTTGGGAAAGACGGAGGGCACAAGGAGAAGGGGATGACAGAGGACGAGATGGTTGGACAGTGTTCTTGAAGCTACCAGCATGAGTTTAACCAAACTGCGGGAGGCAGTGGAAGACAGGAGTGCCTGGCATGCTCTGGTCCATGGGGTCACGAAGAGTCGGACACGACTAAACGACTAAACAACAACTGTCTGCTCCTTACTCTCTCTTCTTTGTGGTGGCAGCCACCCTCCTTCCCTGATCCGCAGTGTGATTCACTTGGTTGCTTGGGGGCCAAGTACGAATTTTTGACCTATTTGTTCACAATGTGTAAATAGGTTAAATTGGTCGTTACGGTGGTTAGGTGTGGAAAAGTGAGCATCCTACAGGCTTCCACTAGTTTACCCATGAAAGATGGAGGAAAGTCATTTTCTGTAATATTTCTGAGAGCCAGAAATACTTTGAAAACTCAGTCAGTTTTGGGTGGGGAGGGGGCGTTGTTTGGCAAAGAATTATGCCATCAAATCAATTCCATTGTAATTGCAAGAAGTCCCTTAAGATCTCATCTGCAACAAACACACTTGAAGGTGAAAGCAGTGAGTCTGTGCAACCACTGTGCTTGAATGAAACAGATACAAAATTGTGCTAATTAGAAGAGGCAGAAATTAAAATAATTTAAGAGTGTATTTAATTTGTGGCAAATAGCTCTGAATGGAACAATTAGCTCATTATATTGACATCATATTGCAGGGGTTTCTCTGCTTCTACATGTACTGTGCTCAGCAGTGAGAATCAAGGGGTACATTTTTCTCCCCCAGCTTTTCCTTTTACTTTGCTTCCACTAGAGAAAATGCATTATTATCTACTTGACCCGAGACACGGCAATTAAGAATGCAGAGCTGAAATGTCTGTAGAGATTATAACAAAACCATTCAGTCAGCTGGAAACATTTAATTAACACACATATTGTAAAGTGTACACTGAATCCATTGGTGCCATCCAAAACTGTTTTGACATAGCGAGAGGTTTAGGATATAATTCCGTAGCAGGGTGTTCCTGGTGCTGCCCAGGATTTTTAAGAAACCAAAACGTATTGGTGTTTTTGTTTTTTTTAAAAAAATGGATAGTGTAATTTGTGAGTTTGGGCCTATTGTGCCAAAAAATGGGTAAAATCATGCCAAAGTCACATTTCAGTCCTCCATCTAGATTCAATAATATGGTGCCTGGCATCCAAACATCAATGAAGACCCCTACCTTGGGAACTCTCATGCCACATTTGGTGGCAGTCAAACCTTGAATGGCAATCAAATCTGCGACAAAATACAGGTGAAGTTATGCCAAAGTCATGTTTCAGTGCACCATCCTGATTCAAAATGGCACTTGGCATCCAAACAGTGACCAAGACTGCCACCCTCCACCTTAGAAACCCTTGTGCCCAGTTCAAGGTGACATTCATGGTTCTGTTCCTCCCCATTTGATCCTCACAAGAACCCTACAATGTAGGCAGAGAAACTAAGACTGGCCTCAGGTCACCCTGTTTAGGGAAAATTTTTAATGTTTGATATTTTATTGTGTTTTTAACATTCTGTTGGGAGTCGCCCAGAGTGGCTGGGGCAACCGATTCTGATGGACGACATGAAGAAGAAGAAGAAGAAGAAGAAGAAGAAGAAGAAGGAGGAGGAGGAGGAGGAGGAGGAGGAGGAGGAGGAGGAAGAGGAGGTCCTAGTCCAGCACTCTGGAGCCAGTGTGGTGTAGTGGTTAAGAGCAGTGGACTCATAATCTGGTGAACCGGGTTTGCTTCCTCGCTCGTCCACATGCAGCTGCTGGGTGACCTTGAGCTAGTCACACTTCTTTGAAGTCTCTCAGCCTCACTCACCTCACAGAGTGTTTGTTGTGGGGGAGGAAGGGAAAGGAGATTGTTAGCCGCTTTGAGACTCCTTCAGGTAGTGATAAAGCAGGATATCAAATCCAAACTCCTCTTCTTCTTCTTCTAACCAATACACTATGCTGGCTCTCTTAGGGTATAATTTTTTGTTTCTTGGATTTGTTGTCGACTCTGCTAAGTAATTCCTTGCCAATGAAGTCATCCTTTCACTATGTTCGCTCACATATCCTGGAGTCTCTGCAACTCTGACATATGGTTTTTTCTCCTCACTATGCATTATTGTTACTTTTGGTGATGTTGCTTCTCAATCAAGTTGGGTTTTCTCTCCTTTTTCTGGGCCATGAGGATCTCAGCTTCCCTTTGCCACTCGCAACAGCTGCATGTGCAATTCTAAATTAAACTGTGATAAACCTGAAGATCTCATCCTGCCTGCAATTAACTTCCAAGCCAATTAAAAAATGGAGGGAAATTGACAAAAGAGGGACTTCTGGTGTGTGTTTTTTTAAAGAAAAGATGGTATGCTGTTATGGAAAGGTTTTGCACTGTTATATAAAAAAAGAAGATCTGCCAGTACAAGTTGCAGTGGTACTAAATAACTCTTTCCAGAGATAGGGCATTATAGCCAGAGAAAGAAAATAAAGATCTGAAGCTGAATGTTGGAAGATTCAGGACAGAAAAAAGAAACTACTTATTCACACAATGTTTTGAATTTCATTCCACAGGAGGTGGTGGTAGACAACCTAGAGGGTTTTAAAATAGGGTGGGACAAATTCTTGGAGAAGAGGGCTATCAATGGCTACGGTCCGCAAATAATAACATCTTGGAGATCCCGGGCCTCAAGGAGATTAGACTGGCCTTGACCAGAGCCAAGGCCTTTTTGGCCATGGCCCCGACCTGGTGAATGCTCTGCCACAAGAGACCAGGGTCCTGCGGGATCTGACATCCTTCTGCAGGGCCTGCAAGATGGAGCTGTTCCGCCAGGCCTTTGGTCGGGGTGCAGTCTGGCTCCCCTTCTCTCCTTATAAGAACTTGTCTGAAAGTGGCCCCCCAACTTTTCTCACAGGCTCATATAAGATCAGTACAAACAGTTAGGCCGGTGAGCATTTAAGGTCCCCAGCCCTAATCTGTGGGTTGCCATCTGATTGGATTTCACTTTGATTCTGATTTGAGTTTAGGATGTATTTTAATTGATTGCCTGATTTTATGTTAATATGTTATATATTTGATGTCAGTCGCTCTGAGCCTGGTTTTGGCCAGGGAGGGTGGGGTATAAATAAAAATTATTATTATTATTATTATTATTATTAGTCACAATGGCTCTGCTCTGCCTCTATGGTTGGAAGAGATTAAAATCTCCCTGTCCCTGTCCCTTGGCAAGGCAGGTACCAGGAGCAATGGGAACTGTAATTTTCCCAGTGCTCCTTACAGATACAGTGGTACCTCAGGTTACATACGCTTCAGGTTACATACGCTTCAGGTTACAGACTCCGCTAACCCAGAAATAGTGCTTCAGGTTAAGAACTTTGCTTCAGGATGAGAACAGAAATCGTGCTCCAGTGGCGCGGTGGCAGCAGGAGGCCCCATTAGCTAAAGTGGTGCTTCAGGTTAAGAACAGTTTCAGGTTAAGTACGGACCTCCGGAACGAATTAAGTATTTAACCTGAGGTACCACTGTACTTTTCCAGGTTGGATTCTAAAAACTGCATAAGGATGCCAGGAAAAAACCCCTATTTGGATCCAGAATAATTTAGTTCAGTATTCTCTCTTCTGTCCATCTAGACATTCTTATTAGCCCTTCTGTTTTAGATACCTTGTGGCTTTAAATGCCAAAGAACAAACCAGAGACCTTCAAAATACCAAGGAGGAGCGCTTATGACCCATCCCATAATGCAGTATCACAAGATCTGCCATCGAAAGAGAGCCTTCTCCTCTGAAAGAGCCACAACAGCATCTCCTGCTAGTTCAGGCTTTTAGGATGAACTGAAGGTCAGCGGAGAGATGCTTGAGACACTTAGTTAATAGCCGAGCGGTGTCTAAAGAACAAGTAGGGGAGTCTGTTATGTTGTAAAGGAAAAGCTGACCCGAATCATTGCAGGTTAAAAGTCTGTGAATAAAAGCTGATTGCCAAGGAGGTTTTGGAGAGCAATACTCCAACCTGCTGAATCGAATTCTCATTGCATGGTATGACTTCATCTTCTAAATGAAACCAGCGCGACTTCTTCTTTTTCTTGACCCTTGAAGCTAGCTAAACCACCTGGCTTTTGATATGACAGGCGCATTCCTGTCAGTCTATATCTAAAGACTATTGACTTCTTGAATGCTCCCCCAAAATATTCATAATGTATAGGCTATTGTTTACTACAAATTGTGCAGGCCATTTCTAGTATACAGTCACATGGAATCATGTTTTCTTTATTCCTATTACTGTCTCATATTTGTCCCATATTTGCACATTTTCTACAAACTGTTGTCTCCTTGCATCCTCCTAAAATAGTCTTGTGTAGACTATTGTGATCTACAAATCATGCGTGGCATTACTAGTTTGCGGTCACAGTGCAATATGGTTTTTTTGAGTCATGTTTCTTCCTCCAGGTCTGTACTTTCCAAATTGTCTCCACAGTTGGGCAGGGATAGGAGCAGAGATGAAATGAAACATTAACAATTTAGTGTTCAGTGAAAATATTCACTGAATTAACAATTCAGTGAAGCAGAACAATTCAGTTTTCATATCTTCATTGAAAAATCTGGAATACCCATTTTGAAGGTTGAAAATGTGAGAATGTCTGCCCCCAAAATTCAGAATTCAAATGCTTTTCAGTTTGGCAGTCTTGACAACAGGAATCCAATAGGCTGTCAGTTTTAGATACTAATATATCACCATGTGTTATCTGTAAAATGCTATCCACTCTCATACCAACCATTAAATACTATAAAATATGGAATTCAGTTGTTTTCAATTTTAATATACAACTAAATAGTGAGAAACTCAAGTCTTATCCAATCTGGCGTATTCCAGATGTTGTTGGACTACAACTTTCATAATCCCTGATCCTTGGCCATGCTGGCTGGGTCCTAAACATCTGGATGATACTAGGTTAGGAA